TTCTAAAGTTTTATATCTAGAAGGAGCTAAATTATTCCAAACAAAGTCGCAATAATCTAACTTGGGAAGAATCATAGTTGTAAAGACTCTTTCAGCTGCATGAACCGTGAGACTGTTTCTGACCCTACTTAACAAACCAAACTGTCTAGATACCTTATTAACCAGTCGAGTAACTTGTTCCTTGAAAGATAGTGACTCGTCTAGGTATACTCCTAAGTACTTATAGAAAGGCTGACAATTGAGGACTTGGTCTCCTAAATAAACACTGCAAAGATTGTTAGAGTCAATTTGATTGCGTTTCATAGCAGTTCCAAAGATTACATATTCAGTTTTCTCAGGATGAATAAACAAATAAAAAAAGTTGAGCTCGGCATTTAACACCTGCAACAGCTGGTTTACATCTGAGGCTGCGTGATAGATGACGGTATCATCAGCATACATTAAGATAGTTTTAGGAAAACGACCAGAAGCTTTAGAAGCGTTAGTTTTCACAGCCTACCAAAACAAATGAGAGCACACAACAGACAGGATAATTCTTGCAAACGACTGAATTTGTGTGTTACCCCTTTGACCTCTAACAGTGACTAACATCGTATTTCTCCTCACAATATCACCTCTGAATTACACATGATAGTCAAGAAAATAAAGGAAATTGTCGTCAACTCAGCAGACAGAGTAAAGTTTCCAAGTGACCCTATTAGTCCGCACGGATGCCTCAATAAGGACAAGCTGAGTAGTGATATTTATTTATCACAGAAACTGAATGACTGATATTTACAGTTGACCGAGCAAGTGAAAACAATTGACTGAATTATATCTCTAAAAATACTTCTAAAAGACCACAAAAGGGTTATCAAAAAATGTAGGATCTCTTAGTCAAAACGCTCTTTGAAATCCTATTTCTCAATTTTTGAGACTGAAGTAAACAATGGTACCCTTAAAAACCTCATTGGTCCATTTTGCAATTTGTGACAACCATCGAAAACACATGAATCAAGCCGGATTCCTACTTGCTGTGCCTCATATACATCCCACATCATTATCAGCTAAAAAAAAGAAATAAAGGGGAGACCTTTTAGTCCTTAGTCACCACCATGATGAGAGAGGCATCAACCTGCATTTTACAAAGTTGCTTTATTTTAGACTTCTGCCCTTGATTAAAGCATACAAAAGTGTTTTATAATGTTAGGATTTACACTTAAAACCTACCCTTATTCCGGCCATGTTACCCTTGGTAACTAAATATTTTGTAAGCCCACTCACATGTCCCTCTTCTAGAGACAGCAGCGGAAATCATGTCCAACTAGAACGACGTGAAATGCACGAATCATCGAACCGAGCAACATAATTTTTTTTTTTCTTTTCAAGAAAATAAAAGTCAGCTGTTTAGTTACAGATACATATTGAATTTAATAGAACAAATTATGGTAAGTTTTCTATGAGATATAGGGCGGAAACTATTGTATGGAACAGTCTACTGAGTGAGATTAGAAACATAAATTCTTACAATCTTTTCAAAAAATCGCTAAAACTATATGTTCAAAAAAATGATTTGTATTAGACGTATTTGAGTTTCTATCAGCATGTTGAGAAAATAAAATAATTATGTATTTGCAAATCTCTGATCGATAAGAAAGACATTAATATCCACCGTCTATTATGAGTAAACTATTTCAAATGATACTATAATTAAATGAGGATCTTTAAAAAAGCTCATCAGAGCTTGCTAGATCTCCTGACGTATCTTGTTTATAATGTAGTATGTATTAAGTGATGTAATGAACTATTGAAGGCGAATAAACATCAACAGGATAGCATCCAGCTTCTTGTGAGACTGTTTTGACACCTCTCTTTCGATTCATAAATAATTCCCAACTATTATAACTTATTTTAAACATATAAAGTGATTTAATTCCGAGCACCTTTAGGGCTTTAAATCACTTCCGTTCTGTAGTCGGGTCAAATTCATTTGGTCCAACATGGCAGTAACAAGGCATGTTAGTAACGTTACAGTCCAAACCTGATATCTGAAATTGTATCGATAAATCACACAGTTTTGTTTGAAGTCTCTGTTCGAGTCTACACGACTTTCCTTTTGATCTAAAGATGGCTACAAAAGCTAACAAGAAGTACAAGCTTCAATAAAGAATACCTTTAATTAAATTCTTTATGAAAAACATAACCTTGCGTGGGTAGCACTTTAATTAACTTCATAGCACACTTAAGAAAATATGTTTAATATGTGTAATGTGTTTGTTTATCATCCAATTGTGCTTCGTAGAGTACAAATAACGCGCGAGACGAGTACAAATATCACGCCATATTTCTAGTCCAGAAATATCCGCGAAATTCGCCCGCACTGAAATAACAATTTGGCGTGTTGGATAATAAATCTCTTATTAGACGTTTTTTTTGTTGTTGTTATTGTTGTGTAGTATCGCTGAGCATTTTTTCTCGTTTTTAGTATTTTGACTCGCCCTACGGGCCAATCAAAATACGGCACAACTCGTAATAATACTCAGCGATACTACACAACAAAACGTGTAATAAGATATATGAATTACATGTTTAACTTTAATTGTCGGGAGTATTATCGTGGAACGAAAAATGAAGCAATTCACCACTGGATTTGAACAACGATCTTGGTGATTTTCTTAAGTTAAATCAATATTTCGCTTCGGCGATAAAGTGAGACACTAAGGGGGCAACACTATATTTGTGTGTGTGTGTATTTTTTAGGAAGAAATAACATTATCGGCTCTTGTTATGTAAACTTCCGGAGGAGAGGTCTCAACTCTTCAAAAGTGGTAGCAAAATAACTATAAATGATAAGGGTATCTTTTAGCAATTAGGTAAGTATCTAACTATTAATGAGATTTAACACCCCCGTTTAGCATAACTCTGGAAAGCCCAGCGTTGCAAAACTCGTGGCGGCGGCTGAATCATCTCTGTCAAACCGCTCCAAATAAGGACAAGAGATTATAAACTGAGAGAACTTATCCCCATGACTCAGATTATAATCGATGAATCTATTTCAAATTATCTAGCATGGGAAGTGATAATCGAGAACTCAATGATAGCAAATTAGATCATGTCGATAATGTCGGAAAAAACACTTTACTGTGCAGGAAATGTTGGTAAATTTGTCCACTCTCCCTTGCACTCCTTTAATACGAAATATTCTTCCGACAATGGCCGACAATACATAGTTTCTAGGCTATGGTCAGAGTTTCAAACGCTAAGAACAGATTGTTAGTATCAAACTGAGATCAATTTTGCTCGTAAGATATTTTCTTCTTCTTGTCGGTAAAGCCCCTGATTTTGAATGACAAATTCCATCCCACCACGGGAACTCCGGCTTAAACACATCGCCCACGGTAAGGTGTGTTGTCGGTCCAGATACTTCTGAACAATCCTTCATTGAGTTTTGATGTTTAAGCGTCGCGTAACAAGCCTTTGTGCACAAAAATAGCTTTTGCAGCAATGGCCTAAATACCTAATCAATGTAAAGCAAATGGGGGATCTCGTGACTATAAATACAGGTGTTTCTTCAGTCACTGTTACATATTACAACCTTTGGTAGCTTAAGAGGCCGTGACTGTAAATATCGAGAATTGCTGGCCAGGCTAAAAAAATCGAAAATTCTGCAAATTTGCCTGGAAAACTCCTTTAGGCTGATATATTCAAAAAAAATATTTCAAAAATTGAAAAATAAAATGTGTCCGAGGAAATGGGGAAAAACGAAAATTGGGGTTTTTACCTAATTGATTATGCAAAAAATACAGTAAAATTGAGCAACTTTAGCGTGCTAGTACTAAAGGGGGTTGTTTCGTAAGAAATCGGGAGTGTTTTCACTTCAAAGTATAATTAATGTGACCTCTATATGTGGCATTTTAAGGAGCTTTGGTTGATTTTAAAATTTACATTATTTTTTAACTAAGTGCTGTCAAATGCTTGTTGCAAAAAGCGAAAAATCGACCAGCTTTAAACCTTCAAAACGTGTCTTGGTATGTGTGGCATCATGTCAAACTACATGCTGGCACAAAGTTTGGTCCTTATACTAAAATAATATGTAATAAAAAATTTGAGTAATTCAGAAACGTACCGGCAAAACATAAAGCTTTGCGACACACTGTGNTAGGGACCAAACTTTGTGCCAGCATGCATTTTGACATGATTTCTCACATACCAAGACGCGTTTTGAAGGCTTGAAGTTGCTCGAATTTTCGCTTTTTGCAACAAGTGTTTGAGAGTACTTTGTTAAAAGATCTTGTAATTTTTTAAATTAAACTAAAGCTCCTAAAAGTGCCATAAATAAAAATCAAATGAATTATATTTTCAAGTAAAAACATCCCCGATTTCTTACGAAACATCCTCCTTCAGTACTAGCACGCTAAAGTTGCTCAATTTTACTGTATTTTTATCTTTCCTTATCTTCCTTTATCATTCTTTTGTCTTTCTCTTTTCTCTCTTAAGCTTTATTTCACATTTCATTCTGCTCACTTACGAGCAACTTACTTCAACAGTTAAGAATTGTGCTGAGCTGCACGAATCTAGCCAGACAATCAGTGGTGTTTATACAATCAAACCTGATCACTCAGACGCCTTTGATGTATATTGTGATGAGACAACAGAAGGTGGGAGCCGAACAGTGTTCCAGAGAAGAATAGATGGTTCTGTTGATTTCAACCGCACTTGGGCTGACTTCAAAAATGTATTTGGAAGTTTCCTGGCTGGTGAGTTTTGGCTCGGACTGGATAAGATCCATCTGCTGACTCGAGAGAAGAGAAACAGTATGCTTCGAGTAGATCTCGGGGTTGATTCTAAAAAATCTGTTTACGCTGAATATGAGTGGTTTGGAATTGCAAACGAAACGGCAAAGTACCAGCTGAACATTGGCAAGTTAGCAAGTAAGTGAATGAAAACAATTATGACAAGTAGCTTCGTTGCATGACCATAAATCAAGCAGTGTAGCAAAAGCATACAACTTTCTAGAGAAAAAGAAAAAGACAATGATCGCAACACATTCATTCGAAGTTTTTTATTTATTTCCCCAATTCATTTTTCGGATATTAAATTTTTTTTCCTTTTACGTGGCACAATATTGAGCTGAAGTGTCAAAGAATTTATGAGTGGATTCAGTTACTTCGTCAGCAAGAGCGACTGTCTATGATTCTCTTAGTACTGATGGCCTAAAGTTTAGCTCCTGGGATCGAATGCATCAAACTGTCCTAAAAGGAAGAGAAAGCTGGCGGTTCAACAACTGTATTTTTTTTTTCTAATCTAAACGGAATTTATGGATAAAGCAAAGTGGGAGGGGTTCACTGGGAGTACTAAGATCGTAGCGATCCTAACTGCGCTCCCAAAACATTAGAAATAAAAATCAGACCGGTGGCATTTTCTTAGAGCTTTGGAGAAAGGGGCCGAAAATCCGACCAGTAATGCAAGGGCAAGGTTCAATATCACAATGCAATTCACGAGGGGATTAAAAAAATAGATTTTTCTAATTCTTTTATCGTGACAGCAACTCAGCTGAGGTTCAAAGTATTAATTAATGGATCTTACTTCCTTAACAGAAGCGACTGTCGAGGATTTTCTCAGTGCTCATAACGGCTCTAGGTTTTGCACCTGGGATCGAAAGCATCATCACTGCACTGAAAAAGTGAGAGCTGGTGGTTCAATAACCTTCCTATTGGTTCAGATCTAAACGGAATTTATGAAGACAACGGAACAGGAAAGATTCACTGGGGAAAAATAGATGGTAACGATGCTAACGGCGCTCCCAAAACATCAGAAATGAAAATCAGACCGGTAGAATTGTTTTAGAGCGTTTGAAATGAACATTTCGGCTCTAAGATTTGCCTCGGACATCTGATCGATCACAAAGGCAAACGGCATCGGTGAGGAAAGAGGCGGTCTGTACGAGGACCAAAGATGGGAACTTAGTCGTCCTAGACACTCGATTGAGGCGTAAATGAATGGCACGCCATTTATACAAGGGAAGAAAAAGGTGATTCGGACCAAGGGTGGGGGTGGGGGAGGCGCTTAAAACAAGAGCAATGAGTGTCATCTGGAAGGTTGAACTACTACACCTTAAAATGCGTAGTTTTGAGCAACGCACTCTAGTACATAGCCAATGTTTAGTTTCTTTCTCGAATTTTGTCATAGTTTTGATTAATTGGTAATAGGGCTTTGTGCCGTCCAATTCTCTCTGTAATCGTATCGACTCGTAATAAACAAATCAGACTTCTGCTTCGAGGTCGTCTGATTTTGTCAATCACCCGTATGCTTACAGACCGATTTAATCTCTTGCTTTTTTTTACTTTGCTGTCTTGTTTACAAATCTCTTAAATCTTGTTAAATTTTTTCAACCCTTTCGCTTCCAGGATTGACTAAAAGGAAATTTTGTTCACTAAATCGATACACCTAAAAAAGATCGGAGAGAAACATATTTTGGATATAGGCTGATAGTTTCGAAAGAAACTGTTTGGGTCTGCGTCGGTGGGAGTAACGAAATAATTTGGATATATCAACAAAGTTGAAGTGGTAAATTGGTCGGAGCGAAGGGCTAACGCTCGAATCGTCAGCTCTTGTAATCGTTACGGTGGCTAATTTACCACTTCAACTTTGTTGATATATCCAAATTATTTTGGATGTAGTTTGATTTGATACCAAATTCTTAGACCCCGCTGAAATGATAAGATGTATCGCAAATAGTCACAGAATTGATATCTCATTCATGGGAGTGAAAGGGTTACCGAGGCGAGAGATGCGTAGCGAACTCGGAAAGTGGGATGACCTCGTTTAAGATTTTACTTAATTATTTTTATTTATTTATTACAATTTAATGGCAATGATGACAAATAAATGAATCTAAATATACAAACAAACAAAGCCATAAGGATAATCTGTAAAAGAGTGGAACACTCCATGCAAGACAGATCACCGTGTAGCTAATCTAAATAAGTCAAATATAATGACGAACAGAAAAATTTTTGATCAAAAATAAAAACATTAAAAACGTCAATGTTCCTTACTTAAAAACTTCCTCACTCTAGACTTAAAAACTGCAAGACTAGGAGATAATCTAATATCTAAGGGTATCGAATTCCACATTTCAACAATTCTATTAAAATAAGTGGATTTCAAATTAGTCGTTCTCGCTAAATTCATCTTCAAGGAATAGTCATCAACATGTCTAAATCTGTACCGATCGTCCCGAGAATAAAAATTAAAAACCGGAAAAACATCCACATTTAAGTATCCATTTAAAGCCTTGTACAAAAATGTAACATCAAAAAGACAACATCTATTTTCAAGTGAAAGCAAATTGAGACATTTCAGGCGCTCGTTATAAGTAAAATTCCTTTTTCCGAGAATGAATTTTGTTCCCCACCGCTGTATGCGCTCAAGCTTTTCAGTGTTTCTCTTGGTATGTGGCGATCAAACAGTTGTTCCATATTCCACTTGCGATCTAACCAACGTGCAGTACAGCATCTTCAGAGTTTCGGTGTCCTTCCAGCCTCGACAGGTTCTTCTTAGCAGGCCCAAGATTCTCTTAGCTTTATTTGTAGTAGCATCAACATGAGAGTTCCAAGAAAGATGATGGCTCATAATCAAACCTAGGTCGCGAAACTCGTAAACTTCCTCTACGTCCGATCCATTTAGGATGAAGCTAGATCTGAATGGTTCTTTCTTCCGGGTTATGCGCATCATCTTGCATTTCTTAACATTGAAGGTCATCCTGTTCCGTTGACTCCAAGCGCACAGACTATCTAGATCGTCTTGAAACATCGTTAGGTCATTTGCACAATTTACCACCCTATACACCTTGCAATCATCTGCATAAAGTACCACAGAGCTTTCTTGGACTATCTCAGGCAAATCAGTGATGAAAAACACAAAAAACAAGGGGCCCAAAATGGAGCCCTGCGGCGCGCCAGATGTGATATTCAGCGAGGTTTCAGTTCATGTTACGCAAATTAGAATAAGAATATTTTTCGCGTAGTTACTTAAAACAGGAAAAGAAAAAAGCCAAAAATTTCCATTTGTCATCTGGTTCTGCTTTGGCACCCTCCCACAGAAAGATACAGTTCGTATGTGGATCCGCAAATAGATACCCTCATTTCTTTTGCACGATGAGAGTGAGGTTGTTTCTAATATGGCTACCAGGACGATACCGGTTCGTTTCGTCGTTCTCGAACAACTGTTAAAATGATCATTTTATTAATGCATTGCAGCCAGTAAAGCTTGGAAAAAAAACTGATACCCCATGAGTACTGTCCAGTCAGATGAAGGTGATGCAAGTGAAAGATAGCTTCTTGTGGAGGACATGCAGCCCATTCGCGAGGCCTTGCGAGGTACAGCTGATGCAGTCAACAAGTTGTCTTCCGAAGATGAACAAGACGATGAAGAGTAGAAAGAGAATGAAGAAAAAGAAAATAAGCGACCTTGCACTGACAACGCAAGTCTGAAAAGTAGGTTTTCCCATTCCAGTTTTGGTAAAACTTTCAAGGCTCGACCGAGTACTTACAATTGCCACGCACAAGGGATGAATAATTTTAGTAAACATTCCAGAACTCCTCATTCCGATCCTAGCCAAATCTAAAGTAATCCGTAAGTGTATCATGGCTATGTCTCTTGCGTGGAGCACATTTCTGCAAGTGTTACAGTGGCTCACACTGAGTTAGAGCACTGGTGCCTTTTTAAACCAAAGGCTCCTGTGGGGCGGCTCATTAGATAACTATTGATATGCATTTGCTTCCTAACTTTTATTTTCCAAGACAATCTTGTTTTTGACAATGTGCTATGGAAAACTCTGTTTGAGGTTGCATGCCTTAATCACTTATTGAGAGCTGACTTTTGTGGTCCAATAAACTGCTGTGTCATGGTCAAAGTGGAAAATATTGATACTGATTTCCTTGGGATACAGCTTGCTAATCATGTGGGTCACCAGGAGAACCACCAGTGTCTCAACAGCTAATAGCAATAATAATGGTGGGGAAATGTGAGCTTTAGTTCAGAAACAGAGGTTGATAATCAAGCTTACATACTTACCACTGTCATCAAATTTGCTGCCTTGTAGGGAGGCAAACAGATAGCAGGTTCCCAACACATCCACTGTATCCAACAAAGCTCTCAAATAAACCAGTTATGTATACTATTTCATTGAAGTGATGGATACAACGATACTATAACACTTGCACATCTCCGCTATTATTGATATATGTTTAACTAGAATCACTCATCCCTAATGAAATGAAATGCATAACTAGAAATGCATAACTACTGTATCTTTGAATTTCATCTCAGTGTTTGTTTAATCAATGGCGTGTATGGTATCCATGTCCTTTTGCGATGCTTTGTAGCTGATGAGCACCAAAGGAATACAATGCTGGTGGCACTGCTTTCTCATCTAAGTTAAGTTTTTAGATAATGAGATTTGATAAAAATGTTACTGCTTTTAATTGAATGTATAAATGCATAACATTTGTCTCTCCCTCCCAAACATTATCGTGCAGAACCTTTAAGTTCATATGACATGCATTTCAAGAGTGTACTGTGATGTAACCTTCAACTGGGGATGATTCACTTGTATAATATAAGGAATGAGAAGAATTGATTGGAAATGTCTCAACAATACACATGTTCTACGTCACAATTCTAACACTATACAATCTGACACCAAGCGCTAAAAAACTGTACATGTACATTTCATATAATTATGTAAAAACACTATGAACCCAAGATAGACCTCAGTCAGTTGTATTATTAGAATTCATTCCAAGTTACAACATTAGACCTCAGAAGTCTTGAATTCAAATGAAAGTGAAGTAAGCAGTTGTTAAGTCAGTATTTTCCTTTTTCTGTCCCATGAAGAAACAAGGTCATGTATAGCTGGTGGCTCCTTAGAGGTTAATCCCCAGCATTTGATTTGGTTTCCTTTCAAGTTCTCTGGTTCTTATTAATGGTGCAGGCTGGAAATGGTACTTTTAAAAAGAATGTATTTTATCCAAAAACACAACCCAATGACATATAGCAAGGTCTTGAACCTGACCACAACACAATCTGGAGTTTCACTCACTAATGACAAGGCCACCATGTGTTCAACGTAACCTGAAGAGACTTCATATGCAATTCATATCTAAAATCATCCCTACAAAACCTCACACACTTACTTCTCGTGTATTTGTGCACAGGAATGGTAGCTCCAGGGGCACGTTATGTGCCACCATTAGCTTTCTTAGAGGCTGGGGGTCCACATCTTGCGTCTAACAGTAAGATATTGTAGAATCAATTAAGTACATGAGTTCTTTACAGGACCAGATTAAGATGATCATTTCTAGTTTTTACTTACTTCCCTCTGCACTAACCAGGTGATCTGCCTCCTCCTCTGTTCCAACTAAAAAGCAATACACATGTCTTGTTTAACTTAATCTCCATTTTTGATATTACGTTTAAGATGTTCATTGTCAAAACCTTTCAAAATATAATTTGAATGAGGATTGACAAGCCAATATGTGACCTTGAAAGTTTGTATATATTGAATTGCATCATTACCTTCTACTGCCTGTGCAGCCAAAACGTGGCCTTCCATTGTCACAGGGCAGCATGTGACTACTGACTCTAGGAAATTAAGAACACCTTATTGCGAAAAAAGAGATATGAAAAATTGAATACATACCTGTACTTGTGTAGACTATGAGAGTTGTAATAACTTGAAAGATAAAACTTAGAGCTGAAACTAGACAGTTCATGCTGTGTATATCACACAGAATATACACAAAATATACACAGCATGAATATACAGAGAATATACACAGCAT